ATAAAGTTGTTCTGAAACCCCTTGTTTGATACACATTATTTTCAAAATTCATTTTTTTCTCGTTTCTTTTCAACTACACATTTTTCAATAAAATAATATTACATGCAAATTCAAAACTTTTTCTTATTTTTTAATCATATATTCTCTGTCAATCTATTATTCTAAAATGCATTCTTCATAATTAATGTGTATCAAACAAGCTAGAAATACATAAATGTTATTTTGGAAATTTCTTAGGTGTATATAGATGATAAACCGAAATAATAGTTCTCTAAAAGAATTGCACTATAAGTCCCTAACCTATAGCCTTCGTAGTAGATAGATCCCTAATCATTAAGGTTTAGTCCTTATTTGATACACATTCTATTAAAATACATTCTTTCAAAACATATTTTCAATCACACATTTTCAATAAAATAATAATTTTAATCACATCAATAATTTTTTCTTACTTTTTAACCACATATCGCATATCATATTACTATCTAAAATACATTATTTCCTCAATAATATTCATCAAACACACCCTTAACATTTAAGTCCCTATCTTTTGCATTCTATAGCAGTTTACTCCCTATCTTTCGTAGCCATTTGGAATCTTATATGCAATTTGTATGTCATTTTTCAAACAAGAATTTCTGCAACAGAAAATAAAAAGTAACACAAAATCATACCACAATAATTCATGGAACTGATTGACTATCCTCATCATAAATGTTCTATATAAGCATGAGTAATGTGGCCTTTGTACAGGGCATTACTTTCACAGGGGTCTTACAGGCTCCTCACAAGGGGTGGGCTAGGGCGGGCCCACCCTTTGTGAGGGGCTTTCTGTGAAGTAATGCCCTGTCTGATATAAGCATAATACCTCTCTTGCTATCTTTTAAACAACTCACCTATAATTTTGAGTATTGTCTTCAACATACTACTCATTTGTAACTTGTAAGCCTTTTTTATTTTTCCATTAAAGAACTGACGCATTACATATTTTTATATCCTATAATACTGATATGACGTTAACCGACTCAACTGTATAATTTATTTAAATGCCGTCATCGCCGAGTTCTGTTTCTTTGTGTGTGTATTTGTATCAGTTGAGAAGGTGAAGCTGTTTGTGAATCATTCAAGATTTACATGTGTAAAGGCACAGGCTTTTAGGCAGAATCTCTCAATGAGAAAAGCCCGATTCTTGTCTTAAATTTTTGAAGCTCCAAACTAAGTAGAATTATTCTCGTTGTTGTCCACGTGCTATATGCAGCCACCATCAGCCCATCTTTTCAGACAATATTTGATTGAATTTCCATTCTCAATTTATATTTGCATGTAGAGATAGATATATGCATATGATTTTTCAGTTTCTTTTTGGACTTCCTTTCTAGTAATTTGCTTGATTTTCGTTGTATATCAGTAATTTTGAAGATAGAAAACAAATGAAGAATTCAGTGTCTGAACAGAGCTTGTACGTAGAGAGTGACGAAGAGGATGTGGAGAAGGCATATGATGAAGGTGGAGTTGCAGAAGATGGGAATGATTCTGATTTCTCCAATTACTCCAATGATAATAAGAATAGCCACCAAAGCAAGCCCAATTCATACAATACCTCTTGGCCTCAAAGTTACAGGTATGCTTATATATATACACGCGCACGATCCCAAGCCTCGATAAACGAGGAGGGTTTCGATAGGCTGACAGCAATTCTTACGACATAAAGCTTGATGATCTTGATATATACAAGTATACGCGAGTGTACGTATGCACGTGTGGCGCCTGGTGGAGATGATGGGATCTTTTTTTTTTTTTTTAATCTTGTTTCAATATAAGGATTGAAGGGAGACAGTCAGTCTTTGTTTTACTGTATTTTCTTGTCTGCTTTGTGCTATTTTTCATGATTTCTATTTTGTCAATGATGATTATCGACTGTTAATTTTAAGCTCTACATGAACTATCTTTCTGTTTTTTTGCAGTACTAAACATTCATAGAAGTAATCACATGTCCAAGACAGTGAAGATTTGTTTATTGCTCTTATATTTTTACTTTTAGTACAATTAATTGGCTCTTTGTGATTTGAAGGACTGGATGAATTTGTTTTGTTAATTACTTGCTCTACATGAACTATCTTGCTAGTCTCAAAGAGACGGAAATATCGGCATCAACAATGAAAAGTAAAACAAGATTGGTTAGAGACTTAACTCGAATGCATAAATGTTGTCCTGATATAAGAACAGCAACTAGTTAATTGATTATAAATCATGTTGAAATGGTTATTTCTTATCTTTCATTTATTTCATATCTACCTCCAAATACTAAATCTGTTGAAAATAATTGTTGCAGGCAATCAATTGATCTGTACAGTAGTGTTCCATCTCCGAGTCTTAACTTTCTCGGGACACCATCTTTGCCTAAAAGCTCGTACCTTTCCTCGTCCCTTACAAGGAGACATACGCCAGAGATATTACCTTCTCTGGATAAACCACTCTTATCTGAAGTAGAGGATGAGAAAGTACCACAGCAACGACGTAGTTCCCATTCTCTATTGCCACCTATACCGTCAAAGAAGCCGGGAATAAAGAAAGTGAGTCTCGAGGAGAAAGAGTCCAAGGTCTCAGATGAACTTCCAAATTCTCGCCAGAGCTCATATGGCCAAGCAGTGTTAAACGGTATGCAATTTTTTTTTTAATCTGGTTTTGCTTCAATTAGTTCGTTTACAGCTTGTTATGCAATATTGGTAAAGACCAGAATCTCAAATGGATGAAATTTTAACATAATTTTCTTCCATAGTAATGTTTAGTGCTATACAGTCCACATTACCGAACAAACTTCTATGATTCGACATATGATGGTTTTGCATAGGCATGAATGTTCTCTGTGGAGTTGGAGTCCTTTCTACTCCATATGCTGTCAAAGAGGGAGGGTGGCTCGGGCTTTCTATATTATTGATTTTCGCTGTGCTTTCTTACTACACCGGTATTCTCTTACGATACTGCTTGGACAGTCAACCTGGGATTGAAACATACCCGGACATTGGCCAGGCTGCCTTCGGTAGAATGGGACGTATTGCAATATCAGTAAGTCTTGTCACTTAATATTTTTTCTTCATTTTGAATTAAAATTTCAGAATGTAATTCTTCACTTGGTTATTTTCTGTAAGATTTATTAATGATAGACATTTTTACTTATCGAATTATGAGAAAATCAATCTGCATTAACTATTTGCTAATGCTCCTTTATTCTGTATGTTGTTTGTGTAGATAATTTTATACGTGGAATTATACGTAAGTCTTCTTCTTGACTGTTGAATTGAACCTCCAGCAATCTGTTTTCATCACCATAACTCATTTGAACTCATCGGTCAATTTCTCAAATTATGTGTTTTAGCCTCTGCTTTCTAAATCTGCTTCAGGCTTGTTGCATTGAATTCATTATTTTGGAGAGCGACAACTTGTCATCTTTATTTCCAAATGTGCATTTAAGCATTGGAGGATTCGAATTAAACTCTCCCCATTTCTTTGCATTGATGACCGCCCTGGCCATTCTTCCTACTGTTTGGTTGCGCGACCTGAGTATTCTTAGCTATATATCCGGTGAGTCCATTCAAATTTAGATGATCATAAAAAGAATTTAAAATATTGTTCATTATACTATCCAATTCCATCCAGTATTGCATACCAAATATGAACTCTGTGTATAATATGGTCTTCAATATTTCAGCGGGAGGAGTAATTGCATCAGTGTTGGTGGTTGCTTGCTTGTTCTGGGTTGGCTTAGTTGATCAAGTTGGCTTTCAGACTAATGGCACAATGCTGAACCTTTCCACTCTTCCGGTTTCTATTGGTCTATACGGTTATTGCTACTCAGGTCATGCTGTTTTTCCCAACATCTATACATCAATGGAAAAACCTAACCAGTATCCTGCAGTCCTCCTAACAAGGTAAAGCCAAACACTGCAGTCCTCCTATCTGATTTCTATTGGCCTCTATCGTCAGGTACTTGTCTGTTCGCCTTTTTTAAACCCGAGTCAGTAACCATTGCAGTTTTGGCATTTGCACTTTGCTGTATACTGGAGTTGCTGTATTGGGATACACTATGTTCGGAGTATCAACGAAATCACAGTTCACCCTCAACATGCCCCAAGATTTAGTTGCATCTAAAATTGCTGTTTGGACTACGGTTAGTCAAGAATCTCTTATAGTAGAGGTTTCTTTTCATTGTTACTGTATGCTAGTGTTACGTTAAGTACTAGTGGACGGGGTTGGACATTAGCATGAACAAAATTTTAGTTTCTTTTGCTTATTAGATACTGTCTAGTCATGTTTAGTACTGCGTATCAAACATGTGCTAAAAAACCAAGTAAACTATGCATGTATTTGCATTATGTTAAAAACTACTTGCTTTTAATTAACTTGTGTTTCTGCTTATTCTTTTGCAGGTAGTCAATCCATTTACAAAATATCCTTTCACTGAATCTACTCGTTCGAATACTTCGAGGGTCGAGCATCTTCATTTATCATAAAACTTTCAATGAGAAAATGATTTGAAAAAAAGAAGAAAAAAAAAAGCTTTAGATTCAATAGCTAGAAATCAAGAAAGAGAACAGTTTCTTCTTAATTAGATATACATATGCATTAACAATGTCTCCGGTGGCCATGAGTCTGGAAGAATTGATACCATCAAACCACAAAAAGTCTCATATATATTCTATAATCATAAGAACTGCATTGGTAATGTCTACATTGCTTGTTGCTCTCAGCATCCCCTTCTTCGGTAAGCTTTCGTTGTACAATCTTAGCACGCCTTCTCGACTATGAATATTACTAGACAATTTTAGCTGGTTCATGTACGCAAACAAGGTTTCTTAAATCCGTGTTCATTTTTGTTATACAGGTCTGGTGATGGCATTCATTGGATCTTTTCTCACAATGCTAGTAGTAAGTTTTCTATTTTGGTTTTGTTTGATTATTCTTTGTAGTTTTATATCGTTTCTTATCACAAAATTATGTTGTTATTCCTCCTTTGGATACGATTGTTGTACTAAGTAAAGTCTCTTTTTCAGACATTGATTCTTCCGTGTGCTTGTTACCTCAGCATCTTAAGGGGTAAAATAAACATCTTTCAGGTAAAACCAAGTTCTGTCATTTGCTATGATCAATCTGTTCGTTTAGTATTTTCCTAATATTTTTGTTTCATTTTTCACAGGGCTCCATCTGTATCTTCATCATCGTAGTTGGCATCATAGCATCAGGATTTGGAACCTATTCAGCCCTCTCTGAAATTATCCAGAACTTAATTTGATCTTTTCTCATAAAAGTGTCGGTTTCATGATTTTTAAAGAGAAGTTTTTCACAGTACATATTTTGGAGATGATATGTACACTAGTGAACAACGCATGTATTTTAGCCTTCTTTGACATCTAGTTTATCAGTTCTTGCTATAAAAATCTGTGATCTTAACGGTTTCTCTTTTAACTGTTCTAATTTTCAATGATGTTTTCATCAAATCAAACACTCGACTCATGGGAATGGACTAATACCTATTATTTGATGTCATAAGTCTCACCAAGAGCGAAGGAAGTCGTCACTCCTGTGTCATTTATTACATATCTTTCCCCACACACCCAAAAAAAAAAAGTTGAAAAACTACGAAAAATATGCTGCCTACTTGAAACTTGAAAGTGGCCAAGTTAAAAAATGTACACCAGCTAAAAAAAAATGTACATTAACATTTAATAAAAGAATAAATGTGTGAATTATTAGAGAATATGTCATCACATCACAGCACCACGCCAACAAAGAGAAGGATGTCATGTTTACCTGAATTCTGTTATTCTGAATTTAGTTATTTGTTGTTTCTATATTGAGCTGTATATAGAGGGTAGTATTGTCATTGTATAGGTTAAATTGGTTAGAATATTCTCTAGTTGTTCTATATATTTGTATAATTGGCATCATTCATCATTAAGGAAGGAAAACATATTTCTGCAACTTCATCTTCTTCCTTCCATAATCTTCAGTTTCATAGTATCAGAGAAGCCGATCAATGGCCAACGCTGGTCAAGAAACTGATCCCAAATCTTCAAATGATGAAAACTCCAAAGACAAATACCTCAATTTTTCTGACCCATTCAACCCATTCCGGATTGAGAACGGCGATAACCCAGCTGCTGCCCTTGTCTCTGACCTCTTAACTGCTGATAATTATGTCAGTTGGTCACGCACTATATCTCGAGCTCTTCGTGCGAAGAATAAACTTGCATTCATCAATGGCTCGTTGCTGAAACCTACTAACAAGTCAGATCCCCTTTTCGAAGCTTGGGAAAGATGCAATGACTTGGTTGTTTCGTGGATACAGAATTCTGTAAGTTCTTCTATCAAATCTAGTCTTGCTTTGGTTGATGATTTAAGAGTCTTATGGAACTCAGGGATCCTGTAAGTTCTTCTATCAAAACTTTGGTTGTTGCGTGGAACTCAGGGATCATTTTACGCACCAAAATGGCCCTCGAATTTTTCAACTCAAACATGACCTAGCCAGCTTATCTCAAAATCGAGACACTGTCAGTATCTATTTCGGTCATCTCAAAGCCTTGTGGGATGAGCTTGCTATCTATGACCCTCTTCCCGATTGTAAATGTGGGACATTAAAAGTTATTCATGAACGATATGACCGAGACTGTGTCATTCAATTCCTTATGGGATTGACTGATTCATACTCAACTACTAGAGATCAGATAATGCTACTTGACCCCCTACCACCTCTTAACCGTGTGTTTTCAATGATCCAACAACAAGAACGTCAGCACTTGTTGATCCCTTCTATCAATTCCCCTGACCTTATGGCTATGATGGCCAAACCAATCCTTAACTTCAGCAAAAATTCCTCCAAAACCACTAACCAAAAATATATTCGCAATATTGTTCTTATTGTAAAATTTCTAGCCATTCTCTTGAAAATTGTTTTAAGGTTGGAAATGCCAACCCACCACAATGCACTCATTGCCACATGACTGGGCACATTGCTGAGAAATGTTATAAATTGCATGGCTACCCGCCGGGCCATAAATTTTATGGGAAAACCATAGGAACTGCAGCTCTATTACCCAATCACGAGAACTTTCAGATGGTGATCATGAGGAGGATCCTACCCGGTCGATGATGCTTACCAGGATTCCATCACACACACACACCTCCCCTTGGATTATTGATACTGGTGCAACAGATCACATGATATGTTGTACCTCCCTGTTTACATCTATCACATCCACGGTTTCTTATCAAGTCACACTACCAAATGGACAAGTTGTTCCTGTTACTCACATTGGTGTTGTAAGATTATCTGAGCATCTAGTCTTAACTCATGTTTTGTGTGTACCTTTATTCAAATTCAATTTGCTCTCTGCCAGAAACTTACCCAACATAATTATTGATGTCTAATATTTTTTTCTAATACTTGTTTTCTCCAGGACTTAACATCTTGGACAACGATTGGGATGGGTGAAGGTAGAGGCGGTTTATATCACCTTTTCAGGTCTAGAGTGTCGCCATCTGCTCTAGTTGCTGCACTGCCTCACTTTCATCACTCAACTACTTTTCCTTCTACTTCCGCTACCCACACTACTTCACTGTGTGACTTATGGCATTACCGTTTAGGCCATATTTCTTCTTCTAGATTAGCTTTAATTACTGATCCTATTGTAACAAACAATCAAGCATATTCCAATCAAATATCATGTTCAATTTGTCCTTTGGCTAAACAGCGGCGTGTTTCTTTCCCAACTTCTACGCATTTTTCTTTAAATAATTTTGATCTTGTCCACTATGATATCTAGGGTCCCAACTCCATTGTTGCAGTGGATGGATCACGCTTCTTTCTAACGATCGTTGATGATCATTCTCGGACAACTTGGGTTTATATGCTTAAAATAAATTTGACACCAGGCCTTGCCTGATTGCTTTTTACAGCTTAATTGAGACACAATTCCAACATAAAATCAAAACAATTCAAAGTGACAATGGAGCTGAGTTCCATATGAAAGATTTTTTTCAAGCTACATGCATTATCCACCAACGGAGTTGTGTAGAAACACCTCAACAAAATGGAAGAGTCAAGAGAAAGCACCAACATATCTTGAATGTTGCCCGAGCTTTAATGTTTCAATCCCCCCTTCCACCCCAATATTGGATTGATTGTGTTGTCACAGTAGTCTACCTTATTAACCGCACCCCTACTCCGCTCCTTCATAACAAAACACCTTTTGAATCCCTCTTTCAAACCCCTCCACAATATAAACATTAGAGAATATGTCACCACAACACCACGCCAACAAAGAGAAGGATGTCATGTTTACCTGAATTCTGTTATTCTGAATTTAGTTATTTATTGTTTCTATATTGAGCTGTATATAGAGGGCAGTATTGTCATTGTATAGGTTGAATTGGTTAGAATATTCTCTAGTCGTTCTATATATTTGTATAATTGGCATCATTCATCATTAAGGAAGGAAAACATATTTCTGCAACTTCATCTTCTTCCTTCCATAATCTTCAGTTTCATGAATTACATCAGAATTGTATGTACAAGACAAGCTAATAATCAAGGGTTCCACCACTTCTTCTTTTTCTTTCTCCTCAATACAGGAAATTCTGCAAAAACAAAAGCAACATTAAGACCCTGTTTGATTTGCAAGATTTTCCAACGAAGTTAGAAAATATTTTCAACCTTCCAAGATTTTACCAGTTTGATGTGCCAAATTTGGCATGGAAGTCTTTTTCCAGCCTGACACCCACACGCCAGGTTTTCCTTCAAATCAAGGAATATGTTTTCCTTTATGTTTTGGCTGCCTTTTTATTTTCCAGCTTTTCACTTTTTTTTTTTTTTGGCAATTTGGAAAAATTCTAGACACAATGGTAAAAAAAATTATCACTTTTATTGGCAATTTCAATTCAAAACAAAGATAAACGAATGGTATTCGGTATTGTATTTTTAAAAAAAATAATAATTTTTTTTTGGCAATTGGAACAAATGCTAGACCCAATAGTAAAAAAAATTATCACTTTAATGCACAATTTTCATTAAAAACAAAGTCAAACGGACACCAAACTTTCAGCATTTTTCAAATAGAAAATTATACCATTCAAACACAAATAATTACAATTTCTAAATAATTTAATTCCCTATAAAATATTTTCTTTCCATCTATTTTCCACATTTGCAATCAAGCGACAATCCAACCAATTCAACGCCCATTACCTTCAGAATATTCCATATAGGATATGTCTTGACTTTCACTCCCTACTGAATTGACTCTTCGTCTCCCTTTGAAGCTAAAGCTTTCCTTGCCCACGTTAGCATTTCCTCCTATAAGATATTTTATTTATTCAAAGAAAAGAAAATATGCAGTAGCGTGAACCGGAAAGATGAATGGGAAGAGGGAGTCTGAGCTACCCTTGAGGCTAATTAGAAGAAGAGGAAGAAAAATAAAAATTGAATAATCATTTACCTTCTTGCGGATAAATGGAGTTATAGTGCACTTCCGCCCAGAAGCTCAAAAATATTACTGCATTGTTCACAGGTGGTGATTAGTACTTAATAAATGCCCCGACAACCTCATTAAGAATGTAACGTTATTGAAGGGTGAAATAAACTTGCCCAAAAAAAAAAAAAAAATCTTACTTTTGTTTGACTTCAGAGTATTTGGAAGAATCTCAATATAGCAGGTATCCTTAAACGATGTAATAACAAATATCTTGAAGCCATACTGTCACCAAATAAGAACCATTCACTAGTTATTAGCCTATCGCAAATCGGAAATTTATTATGCAAAATTGCAACAGTTGGAAACAGTCATTTCTAAGCAAGCTTTATTGTCGGATAATATCACTTGCTCTAGCTAATTCTGTCTGTGGTGTTATAAGAAAGGGAAGGAAAAAATCATACAGTGTCCGCAGCAGCCTGCAATGTGATATGATCCCCCCATTCGCCTGTCCTATAATCACATGAAATTGATTATATAAGTAAATAAAGTCTACTCGAGAGGAAGCATAAATGCCAAGAAAGATGCAACAAAATTTAAATGGAACTGTACTTGCTCATCTTCTTCAAGTAGTCTTCGTAAGCCATTGGAACATAATTTTCATACAGCTCTCGATATGACATCAGCTGATGATTCGCACGTAGAAACAATGAAAAATTATAATGTGAATAGATGTATTACATTAACAAGAATTAAACGAATCAGAGACCAAGTAAGAAGATATTTTGAAGCCAATCAAAACACGCAAATACCTGGTTGACAACTTGTTCTCTCACAAATTGATGATGCTCGGGAGTACGATATATTTGATCTGATAATGAACGAAACTGCAGAAAGACAGGTAGAATCATAAGCCGAAGCTTCAACAAGAAGTATGGATAAAAAAAAGGAAGATATAACAAGAGGTAAAAATAACCCAATGTCACTTGAACTAAAAATATTTACTAATATGTAAACTAAACTACAATTGCCTTCAAAATAGAAAAGGTAATAAATATTATTAAGTTATAAAATTTGGGTACTGTGAGAATGTGCAGGAACCTACCTGGCAATTTCCATCCCCTGAAATTTTTAATTCAACCAGGTCATATAACTCCAATCTGATGAAAACAAAACAAATAAAATAGTCGAGTAAATGAACGACACTTAATGAGAAAAGTACTAGTTAGTTAAAATGACATCACACATATAGAAAATAGAAAAGAGATGAAATTTTAAGATACACTCTACAGAACACAGTAAAACATCACAAAAAATTAAATAAATAAAAAATAACTGAAAAGATCTTTGTCGATAAAACTGGAAATGGCAACTTAAAAGTAAAATTAATAAAAATAGAAAACAAAAAACACTTCGAGAGCAAAAGCTCATAGCTGTATCCATTAAATTATAAGATCTTTGTACATTTTTCATAGATAAAAATTGATAGTTTTTAAAACTTTTTCACTATGAAGATAAAATTCTGTTCAACCTAACAAGATGGCACACAATGCGAATTCTACTGTATATAACTCTTGAACCAGTGAATGCAAGCCCACAAAACAAGAAGCAATTTACGAAACAGCTAAGTAACAAAATGGAAAAGAGATGATTCAACATAAGACCTGGCAAGTAGCCTTTCATGATCTGACATGGCATCATCAGCGGACGGAATTTCTCCATTAATTTTAGGAACATGCTGCAATCAAGACAAGCAAAATAATACAGCCAATTTCAATATAATTTCCAGAATAATAACAACTAATCATCATTTGTCCATGTTTGGTAACCTGCAGGGGACATAATCCGCCACTACAGCAACAATACAAGCTTAATTATCTTAGAGGAGCTTTTCTCATTAATCGAAAGATGAATAGGATGAACTTACAGGTACTGGAATCATCTCATTCAGTCTTCTTCCTAATTCACTGTCAAGGGTGGATTCGTATTCCATGGCCTCTTCTTGGTTACTATTGTAATCTGCAGACAAGGCAAATAAAATGAAAAAGAAGTAAAATCATACGTGTCAAACGAAACGAAATCTGGTGCTTTTCCCAAACCATAATAAAATTGCCTTATTGAAGTACCAGACCAATCCCGAGAAAGAACAGACACTTGCTGATCTTGATCTTCAGCACTTGTGGATCCCGATGCCTCAGCAGTTCTAAGTCTTGATAACTCTTCCTGAAAAGCATGAGCAATTACTTCATCATTCTCCACAAGAAAGCCTGTTTTGTCACAATAACCTTCCTCCACATAATCAATTCGAGACATGTCCATGTCATAACAAGTAATAATTTTAGGAGAACCACCCATTGGAGAGCAATCTATAAGGTGAAGGCCCCACCGAACAACATCAGGATCAAGATGGTGCGTGGTCATCTTCTTATAATAGATTTAAAGAACACTTTGGAATAAATTTAACCAAACACTTTTCTTGTACTAAAATATGTCTAGTAGGCTGGCCGTTATAGTGGATAGAAATACCTTCCTGCAAGAAAACACGGTTTAAATTCAGAAAATACGTTCATATTTGTAATTTGAAGATTGAAGCAAATGAAATGATAAATAAAGCCCTTTTTGGATTGAATGGCCAAAAATCCAAGTTTGCGTTCGGTATGCATAAAGTGAAATGATTGCTGAATTGATCACTCTCTGCTTTACCTAAATATTAAGAAATCAATCCTCTGGACTCATCCTAACATTGAGAAATAAACCTTTTCCTTTCTTAAATCTTAATAGTAAAGAGTATAATCTTTTCCCCATTGAAGATCTAAAACTCAATTGACAACTTTTTTTTTATAAACAACAACTGTATGACAAGCCTTCAAATATATGCTATCATTCGCTACAGAACCCTGATTTAGAATAACCTTATTGTCTTCAAGATAGTAATCTGACGAACTATTTTTCAAAATATATGACTTTCCGACGATAAAATTTATCTTGATCCTTCTGTACAGAAGAAAGATAAACGACCAATGAACATATGACAAATTTCAAAGTTCATCAAAAGATCTTTAAAAGATTAAGCTGATCATTAAATTAGAATTTGATTCTTGGAGCCAAAACATATAATGAATAATCAGTACCGTCTTACTTCTAATCTAAGCAAGAAAGACCCAAGAAATTAAACTAGGTAATTAAGATTTTAAGAAAAGCAACAAAAAACCTATTTATCCGAACTTAAGAATCGAATAAACCTTACCCTAAACCTCAAAACGTATAACTACTTCCCCCCCAAAAAAATCGTGTATATTCTTTACGTATTAGGAACAAGATTCTGCCACGAGTTCGGATTCAAAGATTTTTGCAGCGGTTGGATTTCATGTGTACGCATGATCTTGATTGTTTGTGATTGCGTTCTGTTATATGCAATTTAGTGAAACACGAAAACCAATTCTACCGCCGCACAATCAAAGTTTGTGAAAAAAACAAGTTGAAACGTTCTGCCGGGATACACTTTTGCTGGAAAAATATGATTTTAATGAAATTGTGGATCAACAAGAATGAAATAATTTTGTAGGATTAATAAAATACATAGACGTTTTAAGAATTACCTTCGTGGCGTTCTTCACAAAAATTTCTTCGCGTTGATCTTCTTGACTTCACCTTCAAATTATTTGGCTTTCGATCTTCAAGAATTCAAAATTGTAGAGAAATTAAACGACAATATATGTGTGACTATTTCATATTTATAATATGGATATTACTTGGATGAGGATGAGGAATGATTACTATCGTGAAAGGCAGTGTTAGTGTAAAATGTGGTTAGGAATGGATGCGAAGGTTCAAGCTTTATAAAAGTAGACGAAACTTAGACGTAAAAAAAGGTTTTTTATTTAAAATTTTATTTAAAATTTTTAATCATTGTAAAAAAATTCAATACATACCAAACATCTAAAATTATAAAATACTACATTTACTTAATAATTCCTACATAAAGATAAGTTTCAAAATCATAATTACATAATGTAGATAATTTGTAGCTTAAATCTTATTTAATCTAACTCTTTAGCGGGCTCTAATTCAATATCTTCTTCTTCATCTAATTCGTCAAATACAAAATCATCATTCTCGAGCTCCCTTATTTCATTTTGATAATTTCTTGTACCTCTTGTAGATTGTAAGATATCATTGTCCTCATCACCCTCATCATCACAACCCTCTACAATTTAAGATTGTGCATTAATAGCATCACTTGCTAGTAAAGTCTCTATTTTGGCCTTCCTCTTCTTCTTGTTCATCAATCTTTCATTAAATTGGACATAAATAAGATTGTTNAAAAAAAAAAAAAAAAAAACCTAGGCGGAGGCACGCCTAGGCGTCCCTAATAATAAGGCGCGCCTAGGAACGCCTATGCGAGCATTAAGCGGTCAATGAAGCACGCCTAGAAACGCCTAGGCGAGCATTAAGCGGTCAACATTGTCGTTGACCGCTTAATTCCTGCTTAGGCTCAAGGCGAAACGTTTTTATCACGCTTCTCGCCTAGGCGCACTTCTTAGAACACTGGTGAAAGGACTATTCCTTTTGTTTGGATAAGGAAAAGGGGGTTCCTCCTTATATTTAGTTTCCATTCCTTTTAATTCTAAATCAAAATCTAACTCTTATGGCACATTAGTGATTTAATTAAAACTAAATTTTATTACAGTTAATAATAAATTATAACCCTTATATCTTATTGTTGTTCTTATTTTGAAGCTATCGAATAGATCAAATTAAACTAAACTCCAATAAATTACTATTCACTTGATCAATTCTTTGAAATAATTAATTAATTTCATTCTTTTTCTCTAAAAAAAATGAGATTGCACTTGCAGTCTAATTGAAATTACTGAAATTATATATGCACAATAGTTGTTCTTACATATTATCCCATAAACCACGTTGAATATTCGAAATAAGGTTAAATGACAAAATTCCCCTTTTCAAATATACATTAAATCTCTAAATCTCATTTTCTATCTACAATCTCATATGATCACATTATAATATTAATTTTAACGATTAATATTGAATTAGTGAGTTCAAATTTAACTATCCGCTAGAAAAATCCTTGAGATCGTGATCAAACCAATCATATAGGTTACGAATTCGTTTTTATCCTTTTTGTTTGGTTTTTCTAACATCGTAGACTCGAGCGTTATTTCTAGTTAATAGATGCAAAGGACAATATTTTCCTAGTTAATCTTTAAACCCTCTTGACTCATTCTAACGTAGCCAAACATATTTTGACATGTTCCGTAGGTAGAAGTCGACAATATTGTACAATATTCAGAAAAATAAATGAAAGATATTTAAATTTGCAAACAACCTTCAGGCATACATGATACAAATATGTATTTCCTTTTTTTTTTTTTTTTAATTTATCTCAGCCAGACGACATGTATCTTGCAATTTCTGATTCATCAGACTAAATTTACCTCGGACTCTTGTCCAGTGACAAATATAGATCCTAAAATAAACCCAATTTAGAGGTTATAACGGTCTAAAAACCTGTTTTTTCATCTAACCAATTTTTGATAACACTATGAGTGT